TTTTAACTCCGTTTTTCCGCCTTTTAAACTGCACTTTGAAGCCTCGCTGAGGTCCGGGCCTGAAAACAAATAAACCCTCCTCTGTGCTCTAAATCTGACCCTAAACCCGGGCCTAAACCTGACCCTCAATTCCATTCTAAACCCCCACTCTGAACTCTCTTCTAAACCCTTTTTTTTTGGTTTTTCTTGCAAAGAGGACCCACCCACCCTCCCCCCTCTCTCCTCCCAATTTATACCCCACCGGCTGTCCGTAACCCTCCCCGGCTGTCCCGTGCCCTCCTCCTCCCCTGTCCCCTGTCCCTTCTCTATCTTTATTCCCTCACCCCGCCCTCCACCTCCTTGATTCTTCCTTTCTTTGCACTGCTTCTCCTCATTTTATTCTATTGTTTTTGCTCCCCTGTTTTCTCCCTCTGTTCCTGTTTTTTTATCCACCTTTTGTCCATCACTCTTCTCCCTCACCTCGACTTCACTTGCTATCAATTCCCTCTCACCTATTTTTATCTATGCAAGAAATCCATCTTTTTTCTCCCTCCTCCTTCTTTTAAATCTAATCTTTACTCCTGCTTGTTCTTTCTTCTTGTTCTTGTTTTTTATCTACCACCCTCTCTCCCCTCGACTTTAACTCTGATCTGTTTCCTCCACCTACTTTTATCTGAATAATTTTACATAAAAAAGTCATCTTTTTTCTCCCCCTTCCTCCTTCCAATCTAGCATCTTCATGTGTTCTCTCTCTTGTGGCATTGCTGTTTTTTATTCACTACCCTCTCTCATCGACCCCAACTCTGATCTGTTTCTTTTACATAATTTTATTTACATAAAAAGGCTATTTCTCTTCTTATTTTGTGTCTTTTAAATCTAATATCTACTCCTGCTTGTTCTTTCTTGTTGTTCTTGTTTTTTATCTACCACCCTCTCTCCCCTCGACTCCACTTGCTATCAATTTCCTCCACCTACTTTTATTTACATAAATTTACATAAAAAGGCCATTCCTCTCGTGATTTCCTCTCTTTTAAATCTAATCTTTACTCTTGTTTGTTCCTTCTTGTTGCCCCTGTTTTTACTCACTACCCTCTCTCATCGACCCCAACTCTGATCTGTTTCTTCCACCTATTTTTATTTACATAAAAAAGTCTTTATTTTTCTCCCCCTTCCTCCTTTCAATCTAACCTCTACTCCTGCTTGTTTTCTCCTGCTGTTCTTGTTTTTTATTCATCCTCTTTTTGTCTCCCCTCGACTTTGGCTCTACTCAACTTTCTCCCCATCCAACGTGTTTTATAAAGAAAAAACGACTTTTCCTGACTCCCCTCCCTTCCTAGATTTGATTTTTATCTTTTCTTCTTTTCGTGTATTTTTCATATTTTCCATTTTATTATTTTTCCTGTGCTTTAATCATATTAAACTCTTTAATCTACTCTAACAAAAAAAAATAATTTCCCCTCTCTCTTTCCCTATCACTTTTCCCCGCTATTCTCATCTTCATTCACTCCTCTATATTCTATTCTTTCTATTTCTCACTCAATTATCCTTGATGATTCATTTATTTACATCTGTCCACCCCGTGCCCACTTTCACTAAATTTACAAAAACACCTTCACTACACCTCACCTTCACTCTAAACACTCTTTCTACTCCTCTAAACGCTTCTCTCTTGTTTTTTTCTTTTTTTTTATCCACTCACTTCCCCTCCTCCCAGCTCATCACCTACTTTTACTTTTTTAAAAAAATTCATCTTCCCCCACCTTAAACCATTCGTTTTGTTTTTGATGGCCCTCCCCTTCTCGCCCCCCTCTGACTCTTTCCCTTTCATTCATTTTTTCTTAATGGCACCCGAGCTCTGTCTCTACAGCTCATCTTGATCTCTGAAAAATCATCTTTTTTTGACTCTAATTTTGATTTTATTTCAAAACAGTGCTCAAATACGCTATGGAAATCTTTCTAAACACTAATTTCTATCAATTCTTATATCAATTCTTGTATCAACGCCTCTGTCAACGCCTCAGTCAACGCCTCTCTCAACGCTTTTATCAACGCTTGCAAACACCAACTCTATTCATCAACCCCCAACTCCCACCCATTGTTCTATCCCATCATCTCTCCATCACTGCATCTCACCTCGACTCCATGTGGGGCAAATCCGGGGTAGGCGCTGAATGCGCTGATAACGACATGGCACAACAAACAGCGGCCACTCATCCGGGCAATACAGGCTATTTGCGCTGGGAACACGCTACTTTATGTGTAATGCACTTTCAATTGATGCTGAAGAGATCATATCTACTCTTTCCCGCTCTATCCTGCCTTCTTATCTGTTAAATATACATGCTGCTCTTATATCCCATTCCCATTTTACATCTAAATCATGAATGAAATCATCATTGCTAATAACACCCCCCTCATCACATTCCACCCGCTCACCCTTAATCCCTCACTCGGCTTCACGTCTCCTGCTTCATCTTCCTCTCCTGTCGTACACTTGGTCGGTTTACATCTTCTTGTCGAAGTGAGTGTTATTCTTGACGTGACTGTGGATGTAGTCGTAGAAGTGCTAGTGTGCGTTGACGTCTTTGTGACCCACGTGTCTGTCGTCTGCAGAGACTGGCAGTCTGTTGCCTTTGCGTCTTTAACGGTTTCTGTTGTCGTCGTTGTAGTTGTGGTTGTTGTTGTTACATTTTTAGTTGTTGCTTCGTATGGTTTCACTTTTAGTGGTTCTATTTTTAAACATATTCCATCTATTTTTCCACATGGAGTTTCAGATTTACATTCTTTTTTAAATGCACAGTCTCCTTTCAAATGGCGACATCTCTCCATTAGTTCTAGGTACAAACTAAATGCTTGTGCTGCTAAATCAAAGGCTTCCGCTTCTTTCTCTGTTACTTGAACATTTGCATTTCTTCTTACTAATTTAAATGGTTTTGTGTCTTTTTTTTCTCCAGGCACATTGGGCACAGCCTTGCTTGCTGTTTTATTATCTGTTGTTCTAATGGCTGATAAAACAAGATTTGCTGCTTTTATTGCTTCTTCTGCTTCTCCTTTAACCTTTTCATAGTCTTGTTTTTGCTTTTCTAGTTCTTTTCTTGCTTTTTTAAGTTTATCTTGTAATCCTCGGCACTTTTCTTGTACTCTTCCAACTAATTTTTTACATAACTCATCCCTAACCATGTCGTTACTTTTACCACCACTAGTATTACTGCAAAAACCTTTGAGCGTTTCGTTTTCTGCTTGATTCCATTGTGTGCAATATTGGTCAAGAGTTGATATACAATTGTTTTTATTGTCAAGGTTCCCTTTAAATTCTAGCATAACTGCATCTTCACGATCCCTTTGTGTACGATACAATTTACAACCCTTTTTAAGATTCTCGCATTCATTATCCTTGGCTGTAGTCGCAAAATTCTTACAACTTGACATGTATTTGTCACAATATGATTCCCAGAAGTCGCATACTTGTCCTTTTTTATCCAGATTATTTTCCTTATTTAATCCTTCTAGAATTTTCATGGCTTTTATATGATCTTTTAATGTATCACACTTAAATTCAACGCTTTTTGCAATGATTTGGCAAGTAGTTTCTTGTGCTATACATGCAAGATCAAACAGAGTTTTTCTTTTTGTATTCCAATTATCACATCTTTCATTTAGCTTTTTTGTACATGAATCTACGTTATCCAAGTCTTTTGTCTTTTCTACTAGTAATTTTTCCTCTAATTCTTGTGCATTCCTCAAACGGTTGCAATGCTGATTCAATGTAAAACACGGCCATTTAATTTCTTTTGAATCTTGTCCTAGTACTCTGCACTTTTCTTCTAATTCTTTACAATCTGTTTCCGTCGGATAATCTCGCTTCTCGTTTAATTGTTCCCGTAGAAAAATAGCTCTAAATCGTAAATCTGTTGAAAGTACAAGAGCAGCTTTTTTTGGCTGTACACACAACACAAATAGTTCATCGCTTTTTCCTTTTAGTTCCTTACATACTTCTACCAAGCTTTTTTGAAGGTTTTCAAACCATGTTCCATTTGATCCATGCAACTTTCCCCGTAACTTATCTTGTAATGCTTCATTTGCTACTGCTTCAAGTCCTTTTTTATAACACGCTGCTTTTAGGTTACTGCAAGGTTTTTCAAGTGAATCTTGGCCTTTCAAATAAAGGCAATCTGATTCTAAAGTTCTACAATCTTTCTCAGTAAGAAATGTTGATAGATCGTTCCACATAATAATTGCATTCGGATCATTTGCAGTGAGATGTTTATTTTCTATTTTTTTAGAGAGATTTTTGATACTTTTTGCCTGTTTTTCTTGCAATTCGTTACATTTGTTGGTTCCATTTACATTTGCTTTGTCATTATCTTTTTCACACAAATCCTTCAGAATTTCATGTTCTTTAAGATCTTTGCACTTTTTACCAAGCACTTCTTTACATTTTTCTGCAACCGTAGGTTTAGTGCTGCTTTGGCTTAATAAAAGTAAAAGCTCAGCTGCATCTCTTGTGGGTGGCCTTCCAATACGAACTCCTTTCTTTGCTGCCTCTTTATAAAGCTCTTCCAATTCTATTTCTTCCGCCAATGTAATTCCTGGTCTTATAGGCTCAAAATCTAAACCCGGTTCTGTGTAGATGACATCTTTCTTTCTACAGCTATCTAGCAAATTCTTACAGTCTGATTTATTTATAGTACATGTTTCCCCATAAAAGTGACACTCTCTAAGTAATGGTAGGCATTTTGTTTTCAATTCATTATCTTTTTTTAGTAATTTTTCAATTTCTGCTTTAAGAAATTGGCATTTATCTTGTTTTTTAGTCATAAGAGTCTGGCATGTTTTTTCTTCGTCAAAACAACGTTCCATTAATTCATCATTTTCTCCACTCAACAATAGGCAAACCTCCTTAAGCTTCTCTTTACATGAATTTTTTTCTTTAAGACTTCCACTAAGTGCCCTTAAAAGAGCTTCTTCTGCCACTTCCTCACGCTTTTTTTGATAACAGTTATTCCTTAATTTATTACAGTTATCTTTAAGTTCATTAGGGAATGCTCCTTCCAAAAACAGACATTCTTTCTGATTTAAACAATCTTCATCTTTTAATTGTGAAATTTGTTTTGCTGATGCTTTATCGAGTTTTTCTTTGAAAGAAGTTTGCTTTATAACAACCTTGGCTTTCAGTCCTGTACATTTTTTTGCATCGTCATCTTTGCAAATTTCTTTTAATTTTGGATAAATACTAAAGTCTTCATCAACTTTCTTCAAGTTTCCACAATATTCTTTTAGTTTTTCTTTGCATTTTGATCCCTCTAGTCCATCATTCTTTAGGAGCAAAGCCAAAACATATTCTTCCTCAACCTCATCGTTCTGTGCTGCAGCCCGCCGCTTAACCGCCCGCGCCACCGCCCGCGCCAAGCTGTGCCTGACGGGGGTGGGTTTGCGCTGTGGTGTGTGTTTTGAGTTTGAGTTTCCGCTAGTGTGTTTTGACTGCAAAAATTGAAGAGATTCGTTTCCATATTAAATTTGAATATTAAATTATCCTTAATTAATTTTAAGGATGTTCAAGTAAATTCAGTGACAAAACTTGTCAAAGAAGCTGTGTGTGCAAAGTATATCTTTAGTGTGTCCATACAATTATTGTGATACATGCTTTACTACACGTATTTAAATTTGTGTGGGGTAAATGCGGGGTAAACGCGAGATAAACGTAAAAATCAATCAGTGGCGATAAATGATAAAAAA